GCGCAACAAAGCGAGACTCTCAAAAAAAAAAAAAAGAAAAGAACACCAATGGTCTAGTGGAAATCTTGGCAAAGACAATGAAGAAAAGAAAAGGAAATAGTGTTCACAAATAATTCATTGTTTCCAATTTCTTATAGGGTCAACTCAGGAAAATGATGAATGCTAAAGCAATCAGAGACCAAGCTAAACACAGTTAGATAAGCTATCACTGGTAATTAATTAAACTGTCCTCAGATGAAAACCTGGAGTAATTTTTAAAAAAAATTTCCTGATTCACATCCTTCTGCTAATAATATTTCTGAACACTAGATGGCAATGAATTAAAGGTTTAAATGACAGTGAAAAGATTGTTACATAAAAGTTGAGTTATTTAATATAGGTAGAGAAAGAAGATATAACTACTTCACTTCAAAACACATTAATTTTTGACAGTCGTTCTTACCTGGGAAGAGGTCTGTACATCTCATGAATATCTCCCAATAGATTAGTCCAAGTGCATACATGTCTACTTGTTTCAAGGCTGATTCACAGTCCCTCAGGTTCACAGCTCCTTCTAGCACTTCTGGTGCCATATATCTGATTGTACCAACCTGATAAATTAGAGTGATATTTTTCAGAGAAAGAATGCAGCATATTCTGAAGGGCAGACATTAGACAGAAGTTACATGTAAATTTCAGTAATATCAATGATGTTATTTGATCCTAAGCATGTCACTAAACTTTTCTACACCTTATTTTTTTTCCTATAAAATGCCCTTCCTATGGCCAGGCACGGTGGCTCACTCCTGTAATCCTAGCACTCTGGGAGGCCAAGTCAGGAGGATCCTTTGAGGTCAGGAGTTCGAGACCAGCCTGTGTGAGAATGAGACCCTGTCTCTACTAAAAACAGATAAAATTACCCGCGCGTGGTGGCATGTGCCTGTAGTCCCCGCTCCTTGGGAGGCTGAGTCAGGAGGATCGCTTGAGCCCAGGAGTTTGGAGATTTTTTGTGAAAGAAAAGAATATACTTAATTATGGCTGGGCAAGGTGGCTCATGCCTGTAATCCTAGAGCTCTGATAGGCTGAAGCAGGAGGATTGCTTGAGGCCAGGAGTTTGAGACCAGCCTGAGCAAGAGTGAGACCCTGTCTCTACAAAAAATAGAAAAATTAGTTGGGTGTGATGGTGTACACCTGTAGTCCCAGCTACTTGGGAGGCTGAGGCAGGAGGATCCCTTGAGCCCAGGAGTTTGAGGTTGCTGTGAGCTAGCCTGACGCCACGGCACTCTAGCCCAAGCAATAGAGTGAGACTCTGTCTCACAAAAAAAAAAAAAGAAAAAGCCCTTCCTGAATAATTAAACTGTGATAAATCCATTTTAGTGAATCCTCTTCATCAATCAAAAAGAATAACCTAGACCTTCATATGTATATCAACACAAAACACTTGTAAGACACAGTAAGTGAGAAAATTGCAAAACATTATATATAATATTTAATATTTTAAAACATTCACAAAAATATACACACACGTTTGTGTGTGTGTATGTATGTGTGTGTGTATATATATATATAGAGAGAGAGAGAGAGAGAGAGAGAGACACACACACACACACACACACACACACACAGACACACACATGTATGTGAATGCAGAAAAAAAAGTTAGGAAAGATATGTTCCACATTGTAACAGTGAGTGTCAGAAGGTGGACTGTCCTATATCAAACTTGGTAATTTGTCTGTTTATTTTGTTTTGTTTTGTTTTGTTTGAGACAGGGTCCCACTCTATTGCCCTGAGTAGAGTGCCATGGCATTAGCCTAGCTCACAGCAACCTCAAACTCCTGGGCTCAAGCAATCCTCCTGCCTCTGCCTGCTGGGTAGCTGGGACTAAATGCATATACCATGATGGGCATCTCATTTTTCTATTTTTTGTAGAGATGGAGTCTCACTATATTGCTCAGGCTAGTCTTAAACTCCTGGCCTCAAGCGATCCCCTTGCCTTGCCTTCCCAAAGTGCTAGGACTGCAGGCGTGAACCACTGTGCCAGGCCTCAAACTTGGTAACTTTACTCTTGCTTCAAAAATTAGTTCCTGAGTGGGTGCAATGGTTCATGCCCATAATCCTAGTACCTTGGGAGGCTGAGGTGGAAGGATCGCATGAAACCAGGAGTTCCAGACCAACCTGGGCAATGCAGTGAGACCCTTCCCTACAAAAAATAAAAAAATTAGCTGGGCATAGTGGCATGCGCCTGTAGTCCCAGCTATTCGGTAAGCTGAGGTGAAAGATTGCTCGAGCCCAGAAGTTCTAGGCTACAGTGAGCTATGATTGCGACACTGCATTCTAGCCTCAGCCATGGTCTAAAACCTTGTCTCTAAAAATAAACATACAAAAAACCCCAAAAATTAGTTTCTACAAATTTCTTCCTAATGCTAATCAAAAGGACTTGGAATAGCAGTGATTTCCAAAATGAACTGATTAACTTTTACAAAGGCCTTTATGCAATGTCTTTTGTATTTCTTAATTTTACAATTCCCAATATTCTATAATTGGCAATATATAAAGATAATTGTCCTATGCAGTGGATTTGTTAATGCAATTCATTATAGTTTCAAAGTATTTCAGTGTGATAACTTTTGTTTACACTCACTTCACTTATGGCTGCATTATCTTCTTCCCCTGGGCGCACCAGTCTATTTCCAGTCAGCCTCATGGACAAGCCAAAGTCACTAATAACACAGGTTCCGTCATTTTTCACCAAGACGTTTCTGCTGTTTAAATCTCGATGGGAAATTGCAGGTTTATAATGATCTGTTTGGATAATTTCAAATATTTATTAATACTTAAAACAGCACTATTGGACATGAAATGAACATGCAGATAATAGGAACTACATAAATATAGTATTTACTTATAATACTATATAGTATTATTTTTCTGCCCATTAACTTTCTAATAACAAAAAAAGACACAAGAAATCAAAATTTCAACTCACACTCAACACTATTTTCTAACAGATTTTATAATATAACTCATGTTGCATGTATAGTTAATTTAGCTGGGGCTAACAGCTAAAATGCTGCTGCTTCTAATTCTAACATATATTCGTTTTCTTCTCTTTATTTGTAAGGCAGCAAAAAGAGGCAATCTAGAAAGGAATATTTGTTATAAACACCCAAAAACAGTCAGATTGTCTAAGACAAGTATCAATGAAAAACTAATGTAGCTCTAAAATTTTTATATAAACTCATATTGTTCTCCTAGGACTTAACAGATCAAACCTGTGGCAGGACATCCCAGTTCTGTCCTCAGGTTTAGCCATGTCTCTAAGCCCACTTCAGTTTTTCAAATCTAACTAGAAATAGTTTTATAATGAATTAGAAGAACAAGCGGAAGAGCTGATATCCCCCAGGAAGAAACGAAAACCTGTTTTCTTATTTTAAAGCAGCAAAGTAGTGTTATACTCATTCTATTACCTGTTTAGCCTTATCACCGGACTACAGGACCCATGAAGGCAGAAAGAGAACATGTTTTATTTGAATTTAAAAGACTTGGCACAGAGTAGACACATGTTTGCTGATGGAAAGAGTGAATCTAACCTAAGCCCCTCACCAAAAATATTACATTATTTTTTTCTCTTCTATAAGGAAACCTTATGTAAACCTTAAATAAAATCATAGCTCTGGAAATGAAAAAAAATTCTACAGCACCAATTTCTGAAATTTAAAAAATCTTCCTAGGTGTACAAAGAAATAAAGCAACCAGGGTTCACTGAGTATTTGTTTTTGTTTTTTTTTTTTTATCTTTCTATTTTTAGTAGAGACAGGGTCTTGCTCTTGCTTAGACTGGTCTTGAACTCCTGAGCTCAAGCAATCCTCCCGCCTCGGCCTCCCAGAGTGCTAGGATTACAGGCATGAGCCACTGCGCCTGGCCTGAGTATTTGTTTTTAGGCACAAATAGACTCAATATTTAGATATATTACTTTCATTAATGAGCATTCAAATGCAATTTCACCAACAGTGAAACTGTAGACAGAGGACGATGATTCCTTTGATATATACAAAATTAAGCAACAGTACAATTTGAAGAAAAACAGGAGTTACCAAGTTTCTTCATCTAAGAGTTAATGAAGATTTCTCATATCTCCCTTATCCACTTCCTGTTACAGTGTTCTAAAGCTTGTATTAACTTGGCTCCTACTCAATTCCTGTAAGAGCTGCATTTCTTTTTTCTTTTTTGAGACAGATTCTCACTCTGCTGCCTGGGCTAGAGTGCCATGGCATTAGCCTCGCTCACAACAACCTCAAACTCTTGGGCTAAAGCCATCCTCCTGCCTCAGCCTCCCAAGTAACTGGGACTACAGGCCTGTGCCATCATGTCTGGCTAGTTTTTTCTATTTTTAGTTGTCTGGCTAATTTCTTTCTATTTTTAGTAGAGACAGGTTCTCACTCTTGCTGAGGCTGGTCTTGAACTCCTGACCTCAAGTGATCCTCCTGCCTCGGCCTCGCAGAGTGCTAGCATTACAGGCATGAGCCACCATGCCGGGCCAAGAGCTGCATTTCTTACTCTAGATAAAACCACAACATAAGTATATGTGGTATAATCTTGAGCTAATATTTACACAGGAAAATTTATGGAGACATTGGAATATGTTTGTGTACTAATATCAAATCAAATTTTAAACTAAAAGATTGCACACTTTAGGGAAAACCAGACTAATGATGGGGAGAATGTGCAACGACTCAGTGAGGCAGCCAGAAGACAGCCAGTATAGGGTAGTATACTTCCTGCTATTACTAAAAAAGAAAGAAAAAAGAATTAAAAAAAAAAAAAAAAAAAAAGGGAGGGAGGGAAAGGGAAGAGGAGAATGAGGGAGGGAAAGAAAAGAGATGAGACAGGGACTCATCACCAACGAAAAGGGTAGGACTACTGACTGCCCTTTTGAGAGAAGTTTTCCCTTTTAAGTTCCCTTCAGTATTCATTTTATTTTTGTTATTTGGGTGTGGAGTGGTGGTGTGTGCATGGAACACACAATGATTTTGCCCTGGGCAGAGCACGGCACTGGGCAAATATCTCAAAGGAAAGCACAAGATATTATTTTAATTATGTTTTTTAAAAATCTGAGCAAAAATAGTCTCTTTGTGGATATTTACACACACATACAAACTTAAATATTTTCAACTTATGATTGATTTATCAGGACATAACCCCATTGTAAGTCAAGGAGCATCTGTGCTTGGGAATATTTTTTAAATAATTAGGCAAAACTATAAACTCAATAACTACTATACTTATATGCAACAGTATTTATATATTCAGTTTTTTAAAAGGTAACTATTTAGTGATAACATTAGCTAATGTTTAATAGTAACAGCCCTGTTTAAATAAAACTCATATTTGATGGCAAGCATTCTTTTCAGCCAATATTTGACTTGAAATCTTGCTGAATCATGCAAATCTGGAAAGGGGGAGTTAGGATGGTATTTTTTAAGTTCTATGCTAAGTCAGCTTATTTTGTTTTATTTTATTTTATTTTATTTTTATTTCAGGGTATTATGAGGGTACAAACATTATGGTTACACTTTATATCTTTGCCTCACCCAAGCGAGGATTAAAGGCATGTCCTTCCTCCCTACAATGCTCCCTGTGTCCTTTAGTTGCAGGTTTACCCCTCCCCCCAAATCCCCCTAATCCCTGGAGAGTATTACTGCCATGTGATCACCCTAGTGTTGATCTCCAACCTTGTGGTGCCTCACTTTGGATAATGGGCTAAGTCAACTTATTTTAAAGGAGTTATAATATTTAAGAGTAAGAGGACACAGTCCAATAGTTAATGTGCTAAAAAGCACTAAAGCAAGTACATCAAGTTGCTGACATAGGCAATAACTCTGGTCAATTCTGTATTCAGGAAAAGCAAGATGTCAAAGATAAATGAACTGATAAATTATTCAGGAGAAATCATATACATATATGTATGTGTGTGTATATATAGCATCAGCTAGAAAAGATGATCCATACTATTTTACAACAGAACAAAGATCTAAGAAACTGTTACATTACTCTTCACGGAAGAGGTCAGAGAGCCTGAAAAAATAACATCAAAGCTATAGTATGACAAGAAAATGTGGTAAAGGATGACATATTTGAAACACGGACTTGGTGGGGGAACCAAGGGCAACACACATAACCTAAACATCTGTACCACGGGGAGGGCGG